TTATTTTAAACCCAATTATTATGTTTATTATTATAGATCGTTAGTTTTTTCTGAAATTTAAAAATATTTTGTTACCTTTTCTAAATGTTGGGTGTTATCCGATAGTATTTTTGTTGCCTGTAATTTGTAACAATTTATTTATATTTATTAAAAAAAACTTTTTATTTCTTAAGTGAAATTATATATTATGATACCATATTTTCCTACGAAAATAGAAGAAGAAGAAAAAATCCCTTTATCTTCTATATATATAAAAATGGATTGCTGTTCCTTAGTCTCGCTAAAACTCGAGAACAGCTGAACGGATTTGTCTTATCTTAGTCTTGAAATGTTCGTGGAGGTTCAGGGAAGGTATAAAAGGTGAGAAAAATTGGAATAATTGCCGGGAAAACCCTAAAAACAGCCCTTTTCTATTTCCCATACAAACGCTTTTTTTGACATTAGATTTGATAACTAACTAATATGTCAATCATTCTGTTTGATTGAAACAGAAAAAACCTGGTTATTTATGGCCTCTAAGACGGAATAGAGTTCGCCTGGTCAGCTATACATATATTACTAATGACGAAACTAACGCGGACGAAGTCGCGGGCAAAAACTAGTTGAAAATAACTATGTCAATTTGAAAACACGGTTTGAAATAAAAACTAATCTTTTTCGGATAAAGTAGGTATATACACGTTTATTATTATTTTTAACAACATTCTCCCGACGTTTCGGTTACTTTACTTGCTAAGCAACCGTGATAACGGTTCTAAAAAATAATTATAACGCGTATGTAGTAAATCCGAAAAGTATTAGTTTATCAATGAATACTCGCAAAAGTCTTCAATTTCATTAAACAACTAGTTTGAAATTACAAATCGATATTTATTTATTTTTCTTTTTACATAATAAACTATTATATTTCTTAAGGTTTTAAGTGATCAGTGGTGGCCTACAGGTTAATGGCCCGCCTCTCGTGCACGAGGGCGCGGGTTCGATCCTGGCAAGTACCTATGTGATTTTCCCGAGTCATATGTACTTTCTTAGAGTATTTAGACACCACTGACAGACGATGAAGGAAAACATCATGAGGAAACCTGGACTTATAATTTCACAATTATAAGTTTGAAATCACCCACCCGTCGTCAACAAGCGTGATAATATTAATGCTTAAACCTCATCCATGTGAGAAAGAGGCCTTTCCTCAGCAGTGTTCTATAATAAGCTGATGATGATTAAGGTTTTAAAATATACACTATCCAGGTTTATTATCATTATTATATTTATATATATATAACATTTCTTATTGGATATGCTGACCACAAAGATAACCTTTTAAAACTGAGAGACATAACAAAGTGAAGGACCCATTGATGATTCAGTTCAAGGTCTATTAATTTAAACATGTTTTTGGACCTCTGAATACGGTTGCTTAAACCTCGGTGCACAAACATTCAAATATTAAGTTGCTTTCAAGTTATGCCCCATAATTTACCGTCCCGGTGTTGCTTTTGGGACAAGTCGGTGCTTTGTCAACTGTAATTTAGTTGACGAGTCTGTTAATTCTTCTGTATAAATAGTTCATAAAGTCATGTCTTCTTACGACTTTGTGAAATTAAAATGTTGATTAACATTATCAAGATTATTTTACACATTAGAATAAAATATGATTATATTTCATTTGTTTTCAACATGCACTTTTATTGAAGTAATAAAAAAAATGTTACCTCATTTCTATTTATTCTTTAAAAAATTATGTTTTTTTCAAAACCATATTAATGTTTCATTCGATATGCTTTCTTTATTATTGCTGTTACAAAAGTTGAGGGGGAAAACATTTTGTATATAAAAAAGTAAAATTATAGTTTTTACTATCATTAAATAAAGGCTATTTGCCTTGAGATAACAATAAATTTAAATTGCGTTTAACATTGTTTATTTACGTGATTGTCATATAGAATGAAAAAAAAAGTAATTGTACGTCCCTCCGCGTGGACGAAGTGAAACTCCGTAATATAGGAATGAAAAGGAAGGGGTAAAATAATTTTTTAAGGAATTTTTAGTGTTTCTTGAAGACAAACATTACAATTCAAACAAGTTAGAATTGATTTCCTGCATGCATTCGAGCGCTACGCATTCTCTCTCGCTCACTCTCTTTTTATCCACCCCAAAGATATAAGGAGTTTCACTTCAAAATGTTAATTAAAAATCTTTATATATATCTTAGGGAACGATATGATATTGATATATTGTTTTGGTTTCTATTATACACGTAAATGTCATGCTACTTAAACTATGAGTCATACACGCACTGCGTGAACATCGACGGTTCAACGTTTTGAGATAAAGCGAAACTGTTGCTTTGACCTCTCGTTGTTAAGATTATTTATTTGCGGATTTATTACATGTTGATTTTTATTATTTTACAAAATACATTCATTCGATTATCATAAACAGGAAAAAAAGAGATGTTTTAAACTCGTTTAAAAAAAAACACATTTGGCTTATTATATTTGGCTGAAGTTATTTCTAAACTAAAAAGAAATTATTAAAATCTTTCAATTACATATAAACATAATTTGATGTATATTTTAAGTTATTTTCAACCGACTTCAATGAAATAGAAAGTTATGAAATCATCTATATTTTTTATGTTTGTTACAACTAGTTTTTCGTTAGTTCGTTTGTTTTTTTAGTCCCATTTCATTTTGGTCTAGTTCTGACAACGGTGACCACTAGAAAAGAGTATAATATGAAATTATGAATTAAGTATGTGGGGAACATATTAACGAGTAACTTCAACACCAGCCGATTTCGATTTATTTATTTCTAATGGTAGTTTTCCCAAATTGTCCCGTGGTGTAATAACAAGACCTGATTATGAAATCCTGGAAAATTGAGGCAAATCCTTAAAATACATGTAAATATACATAGTATACATTGAGTAATGACATTACTTAAGGTTTTTTAATTATTTGTTCCTATGTTGTTTTTTTAAATTAAATATTATTTTATATAAAAGTTTGAAACCTTTTTAATCTATTTTAATTTTATAACAAGGTATCTTAATTGGGGATCTAATGCTAGGACCTTTTTAATAATAAATAATGTACAAAGAAGACGCATATTTCACACGTGATTTAAACCAATATCTTGCCCAGATTAATTATGTTTCGGTTCATTGCGAACAAGCACCCTATATTGTGTGTTATAAATTCCAATTAATAAGATATTAAGACTTTAGTAAAACAAAGTTTTGTTGCTTTATAATATTAAAAATAACAACCAACAAAAGTGTTGTCTGTGATAAACGTATTTAAGAGCAAGATGTACATACGTTTATTAGCATAGTGAAAATTTTATTGTTAATATAAACAAACCTTATATATATATATATACATATATATATATATACTAATTATTATTCTGCTTTACTCTGTTCGTTGTTTTCAAAATGAATCAATGGTTGACTTGATCTAATTTACGTTCTTAACTGAATGAAGAGTTAAAAGATTATTATCAATTTTGAAATAAGGTTTGTTTTAATAGTATGTCAATTTCAATCTAATCTAAACTAAAATTATATTATATTAAATCATGTTTTGCATATAAATATTATGTTAATTGAATTAAAGAAAATAATTGATTTGCTAAAGTATGGAGTCGTTAATGTAATAAAGAATCATTGTTGTATCTAAACAGCAAAATGTTAATCCTGGCCGAACTTTGTTCAGTCGGTCTTTAGTTTAATTCCTTCAGTACGTGATATCAATAATATAAAAAAGTTACATTATTTATAATGAATACACTATGTAAAGTAATATCACAAAAAGCAAATATTATTCTTTACTTTAATCATGTGAATGTAATAAAATAAAAACGAAGCAATATTATATTATATATTTCGTAAAAATTACCTTAAACCAAACGAAAGTTTGCTAAATACTTTTTTATAAACAACTTTTACAAACATTTTACTTCCTAAATCTTGAGATCAATAAATTAATGAGATTAAAATAAGCAATCATATTTTTATAACATATATCGATTAGCTCAGATTAATTTTGACGATTGATCATGAATAATAATGATTACTACAATTAATATTGGCATTAAACCAATCAAACATTGCTGTGGTTTATTGAAATATTAAAGACATTAATTCTACCAGTCACACGGGGTCACAGGCGTTCTAATGCTTCAAGTATTAAGAAGTCTGTATGATTATATAGGGATGAGATTAAAACATTTGAGCAAGAAAAATAAACATGTTTAACCAACGTTTTACAGGTTTCCTACTAAACTGAATGTGTCTTTTAATTTAAAATAACCTTATTCATAGCATGACAAAACCTGACTAATAATTACCTGTCAACGTTATTTAGGTAAAAACTTTTTTTTTAAAGAGATAAAAATCATATGGATCCTCCATATTGGCTGTCAATTTAGCAGTTAAAATTACATGCTATTCGATAATTTCAACGGAATCCACATAGAATTTTTTTGTAAGTATGAATATTTTCGAGATATATATGGTTACATGAATTTATAAAGTACTTATGTATGTATATATGACTCGTATAAATATGCGTACGTTAAATATTCTTCCAAACCTGAAGTTCACCGATAGCAATGTACATAAAATCAAATTATGCACAAAAATACGAGTGCCATATATATGGTAAACGTATTTTGGATAACGGCAACATTATTTCACTTTAAAGAACTCCTTACGACCTCATAAGATGTTGTTGCGATAAACGTTAAAGGATTTGCTGCTTTATGTCTTGGAATGTATGTAAATATTTACGAGGAAAAGAGACTTACATAAAACACAGTTAGAAAAAGGTTGTTGGCAATATTATCAATCTTTAAAGATCATGATATGGAACACGTTATTTACGATTATAATGGCTCGTTTTCAGAAGGTTACTCGGTTCAAAAAAAGGGTTCATTGCCAAGCTAAACCTCGCAGTGCAATTTGTGCAAAAAACAGCAATTTAATTTGACATAATATGGAAAGGACTAAATACAACTTTCTCTCAGAAAAAGTTAGGTTCACTAGTCCAAATAAACCCGCAACCGTTATCCAGGTTTATCCTCATACCAAGGTTGGTTCTGTATCGTCGCAGAACCAAATACAGTGCCTAGGTGATACTGATTGTCTCGTAATAATCATCAGACTATCATCAAATCCACTCCTCTTCTCTTTTTACTAGTGAAAAGAGTCAGATTTTGTGGCAAACAAGACAATAGGAGAATAGAAGGTGTTCAGTTTTCTTCCACCATCCCGTTACATCAATTTAATATATTTTTTAAATAAGACAGATGCACAATGTAGCAGCTCAATATCTCCCAAAGTAAGACCTATCTTTTTCACCCCCTATATTTGCATCTAGGATCCAGGACTGAAATGGAAAAGTAGAACATCCAGGGCTGGAAGATTGATTTCTTCTTCCTCAGACCACAATAACATACTCGCGTCATCAGTCAAGCGCAGCCAGCTCTTACTGTGCTATCCAACGATAACATGTGTCGTTCCAAATGCCAGTTTATCTCCAACTAACCATCCTGGAGGCACTACAGTATGTCAAAGTACCTTATTGTTTGCGAACCTTATTGACAAACTACTTAGGAGGGGAGCAAGTCATGTATATAAATTGGACGGAGTAATTTACTTCTTTATATTTATGCTCTGACTTTACATTTCGTGTTTCTAGCCGTTGGATGGATGATTGGGAATAACTAGCCAGTCTAAAAATTGCGAAACGTGACGAAACGAAAGAAAATGTAAAAAAAAGAACTTTTTAGGATATCGTTTTCAAACTAGACTACAAAGATACATAATACAAAATATGGATAAAGACAGGGGTATACATATATGTATTGACTATGCGAGAATTTATTTGATTTGTAGTAGGTACTATCAAATCACAAATAAACGTTTCACCTTTTAAATGAAGTATAAAACTAGGTAATTTTACCATCAACGGCGATTTATCATTAATATATAATTTCGTTACCAAATTCTTATATGAAAATCTATTAACCAATACCTCAAACTTATGACTTCACAAGAAACTTTTTACTGATTACATAAACTTCCGCACATTAACTTTATAAGAACATCGTAAAACAAAAGTTTTGTTATATATCTTCGTAGGCAATTTGGTTGAACCTATTTATTTGGGCATATTTAATGGCTTATCAAAATAAAACTTTTAGGAAACTGTCATACTCTATTAAGCTATTTTTTGCTTAGTAATGCAAGCAAGGTTCTTTTTTTACGAAACAAATATGTAATGTATTACTTTAAGTATTATTTTTAAAGCATTTTTAAAAATTATGACGTGATATCTCAAGAAACTATATATGGATAAGAAAATATACGTATATTAAAATAATATATAAATTAATAAGTTATCATATATATCTCTTTGAAACGAGACAAATATGTCAACAAGACTACATAAACTGCAATAACTTAATATGTAACTTGTAGGTGTGTTCAGAATTTGATCGTGAAATACCACCAACATAGATTTACAAACGCTACTCCGTATACATTCTGAAATACAAAATTACTCATATAACTTCTAAAAGGGCATATTAAGGAGCGTTTCCATTATACAGCCAGAGAAATTAAAAGTATTTTTATTTATTCAAACGAATAAAAAAATTGGATTTTACTGGTATTACTTTAATTTACTTTGATGATCATGTATGTTGCTAATCTCTACGTATTTTACTAAATAAATGCTACATTACTTTAAAACATATTTAAATTTTTTTTTTCCTAGACTAACTAACTAGTATTACAATATTACGAATGGGATTTGTTGCTATAATTCTTTAAAAGGAGCCGTCAACTACAAACGACATTGGAAACAAGAAAGTTCTTACAGCAAACAATCTTTACGTATATTAGCTACCCAACTTATTGGGCGCAATTCGGTAGAACTTGTAAACCACTTGCAAAGTTTTGTTCACCGTCTTGGGATTAGGCCTTCGCCAGTGATCGTTAGTTTTATCCGCTTTTCTACTAAAACTGTGGCTTATTTGGAAGTTTAGCTTAATACTTACACATTCGTCATCTTTCCAGATAATTATATATTTTATTACATAAAGTTTAATTAATTCTTCCTTCCCTTCGTTCCTCCTATCCTTATTCCTTAAGTTCTTATCCTTTCTTTGTTTGAAATCCATATAATGTCTTATTTATTAATATAGGCGTCTAGAAATATTTTCTTAAGACTTAAGGGCATTATTATTTATTGATAGGCTATTTAAATATATATATTTCCTAAATTTTAAGATTCGAAACTAATATTATTATTAATATATTGACTACAGTCCATTTTTACTCCACGAAGTGCTGTTAAAGGTTGCCCCCGTATGATCGGGTTTGCATACAAAGTGTATATTGCGTTATAAGTTAAAAAAATCCGCAAAAGTTGGCAAACACAACATTCCTGATACCGCGTAAGAAATATCATGTATTTTAACACTTTAAATATAATATATTTTAATTTGCTTTCCTACGGTACTCTGACATAAATATATGAATACATTAGAATACTATTCCCAAAATATTACTAAAATATTAAATATATAATTTTGGTTTATTTGGTCATTGTTTCATAATATTACTTATTTGAATAATTTAGTCATGCATAATGCAACCGACAGCATACAGAATCATATGAAAATACATTCAAATTACCTTACAAAAGCTCTGTTTGTATTTACATCTCAGTTATCAAATTCTCAATGCATCTACTTTTCTTTAATAGATTTTCATAATGATTTAAATTTTAATATCGAACAAATTTTAAATTCTACATATACAAGATTAGCAGTATCTGCTACCTTTTAGTTGTCGAAAACACTGTCGCGATTACCTACTATGTATAACAAAAGATATAGAGAGGCAATATTTAATGTTTTTTGTTTTCAGCAAAAACATGTAGATTTACTGCTCTGGTAAGCATTCTGATAAGCTACACAGAGTTGACCGTAAGACAAACATGGAGAGTCCAAATGTAATCTTTCTGTTCGTTAATGTAGGTACCTATCTAAAACTCGAGAACAGCTAGACCGTTTTGGCTAATTGTGGCCTTGAAATATTTGTGATAGTCATAGGAAGCTTTAAATGGGGAAAAAAGCTGCTCGGATATAAACAACAACAATTTTGTTTTTTCTTTGATGTGTTTCCCATCATGACGTTTTTTTTTATAACAAAGGGGGCAAACGGCCAACCTGATGGAGGTAGTACCTTCGACCATGGATATCCGTAAAAGTATATTGCTGATTCGTTGTTACCCTCGATTGGGGAAGGAGGGAAAAGGATGGGAAAAGCCAGCCCATGTTCGACATGTAGTACTTAATTGACAACAACTAGGCTCTGCCTACTATTAAAGAAATAAACGTATTGAATTCAACTTAAGATAATAGTTTTAAATGAATAACTAATAAGAGTTTTCATATCTTTCTAACTACATAATTATCCTCATTAGGTAAAATCAAATTTATTTTTTCCTAATAACAGTTGGTAGAATAACTATAGCTATTAACTATATACATCACATTATTAGTATGCATTAAGCATTGTATTTATAATAATCCGACAGTGAAGGGAACAATTGTTCAAGAATTTATACAGATGCTTTTTTATCAGAACAACAATTTAGTAAACATGTTCAATAGCATTGGATCGGATAATAATACTTATAAATTCGTTTGTTTTTAGATTGGTACAAATCAGCAAATAAATTGTATAAGTAGTAGTAATTATCCTTTATTAAGTAGTTTTTTCCAGTTTCATTCAGTTCAGTTACATAAGTAGATGAATGTACAGTTAGTAAGACAGATTATTTATTAGTTTAGCATTTGGGAAAATTCATGTTTTTGTGCATGTCCGTAGTTTCGACTTAAAACTTTTGATTACCTAGTTTTATTTTTGTTTTTACTCAGACGAAGTCGCGGGTAACGGCTAGTATTTTATTTAATTGTAGCCTTTTCATGTATAGTTTTGTAAAGTTTCAAAGTATTAATTTTGTACAGTTTAAAATAGTGACAAATATATTGTTAGGATTATTCTGATCAAATAAACATTGATAGTAAATGAAGAAGCAAATGGTTTGAGGATAGTATTTGCAGAATAATCAGTCGTATCGGAGCTTGGAAAACAATAAAGATTTTGCAGAATAGCATTTCTGCTTTTATAAATAAATTAAAATAACATTTATTTTTTTAAACGCTCAAATTTTTCATTATATTTATTTAATTGGAACTATTTGAAAGTTATAAGATAAGTTTAATAATACCTACTCAAAATTTTATCTTATTTTTACTTCCCCAGTACTACCAAATAATCCAAATGACAATAATTCACAACCGATAACTATGTGTTCTTTCTTTCATTTTCTTTATTTATTCAATTAGATACTAAACCACTAAGTTTCCAGACTTTTTAGTCGCCTTTCTTTGTTGTGTGCATTTTCTTAATAAAATTCCAATTAGGGTGCTATACGTCTAAGAGTTCGTATGAAAATGATCAACAAAGACCTATTCGTTTATCATTGTATCGTGAAAGACATGTTTCCTAAAGATCACGAGAATCTTATTGGATCTTACTCTAACATTATCGGTGGATCACGGAAGACATATTTCCCAAAGAGTACGCGAATAGTCTATGAATCGTTGAATCGTGATGGGTATCATGTTCAAACAGAAACAGAAACCCCTGAAGTAGACAAGTCCGCTTTGGTAAAGACCGTATTCAGCAAACACATTTAAGGAATGCTTCACTAAATAATAATAGTAGAAAACACAATATTAATTCACGGTCCAATAAAGAATAATAACCCGTGCGAAACCGGGCGGTTATCTAGTATAAAATGTATTTCTAAACCAGAATCTGTGATTTAAACAATATTTACTTTTGAAATGAAAGAACATAACTAAATATGAGTAACTATCCTACTGAGAGTTTTAAGATGTTAATTTTAGGCAAAATATATGAATTATTCAAGACTTCAAGGAAATTAATAACACACGTACTAAAGCTATAGCATCGCTCTTTATAACACTTATTATTTATTTAAATTATGAACAATCTAAAATTACTTCATAAATAAGGCAAAGGTATATATTATGAAACTAAAAACCAAAAAAAAAAAAAAAACAATAATTTCAAACTGTGTTGTTTATAAATTATCCTTAAAGCGCAGTCCCTCCTATTGTATGCATTCGGATGTATTTGAGTTTCAGACGACAATTAAGCTGTATAAGCACACTACTTCAGTAGAATTGCTGTTGCAGAATTCGTTCTAAATTTTCATTCTTTAATATTTAAGGAGTTTAACATGTATGTAGAAATATTCATCTATGCATTCATATTGTATGAAAATATAAAAAAATTTGCAAAAATAGCAAAATTTTAGCGTAAAAAAAGTAAAATGTTTAACTATATTAATAAAACATAGTGTATTTTAAAGATTTTAGCCATGTTTAAATGTTGCTTTACATTATTTTAATTTATTTAATAAATAAAATATTTATCATTTTGACAATACACAGAAGGAACAACAAAACAAAAAAGAAACAACAAATAATTCCCTTATAAAGTTGCAATGCAGTGTGTTTAATTAGTTGTCTTAAAAACATGAATTAAAAAAATAGTTTAAACATTATCAATTTAATTGAAATTCTATTTCACTTCACTGATTTTAATTTTTGCCATTGCTCACATATTATTACCATTAATTTTAGAAGCCACAACAGAAATACTTGTAATATTTTATTAATATTTTATTATATTCATAAATTTTAAAGACATTTATTTATTGCAAATCATTAAAAATTATGTTATAGGGGAAATTAATATGATCCCTCATAGATTTCGTTACATTTATAATTTTATAAATTCCATAATAACCAACAGAGGTATCTTTACAGATAAATTTTAGTAGTTAATTTATATGATCACATTTTTTTGTGATATTAAGAAATAGAAGAGACAACAAGGTATTTTGAGATAAAATACATAAGAAATAGAATGAATATGATGAATATTTTGTTAACTTTCCTCTATTAATTATTATATTTAAAACATTATTTTGTTTTCAGATAAAACGGGAACAAAGTTATGAACAATCACATTTTTTTTAATACAAATACATTCAATAATAATTAATTATTAATCTTAATCCCTTAATATTTATGTAATTACAAACGGTGTATCCCTGAATACAATTTTGATATCGCAGAGAAGTTATTTTTGTTTCACTAACTTCATTAACCTCGTTATATCATCTCATCATCATCATCACTCAGCCTATAGCAGTCCACTGCTGGACATAGGCCTCTCCCAACACGCGCCATAACATTCGGTCCTCTGCCTTCCGCATCCAGTGAGACCCAGCGACCTTTTTGAGGTCATCGGTCCACCTAGCTGGGGGGCGTCCTACTCTACGTTTGCCGAGACGCGGTCTCCACTCAAGGACACGCTTGCTCCACCGTGCGTCGGTCCTTCTGCAGATGTGACCAGCCCACTGCCACTTCAGCTGGCTTATTCTACGAGCTATGTCGGTAACCTTAGTTCTTCGTCGGATTTCTTCGTTTCGAAGTTTGTCCTTCAAAGAAACGCCGAGCATAGCTCGTTCCATAGCCCGCTGAGCGACTTTGAGTTTGTGGACTAGTCCTACAGTGAGTGTCCACGTCTCAGCCCCGTAGGTCATAACCGGTAGGACGCATTGGTCGAAGACTTTGGTCTTCAGGCATTGCGGTAGAGGCGAGGAGAAAACCCGACGTAATTTGCCAAACGCTGCCCAACCTAGCTGAATCCTGCGATCGATTTCCTTCTCGAAGTTGTTTCTACCAAGCTGGATAACTTGTCCAAGGTAGGTATACTCTTGAACAACTTCGAGAACCGATCCGTCGACATAAACCGGTCTCGGCACGACATGTTCGTTGAACATAATCTTGGTTTTATCCAAGTTCATGCCGAGACCAACGCGTCGTGAGGCTCCATCTAGGCTGTGCAGCATTTCGCTCAGCTGTTCCAGTGACTATCATCATATCATCTATCAGCCAGTTAATAATAATAATCTAAAATCTAGACAGACAAAAGAAATAAATTAAAACATTAGTATTTCGATATATGCATGGATACAAATTCACGTGTATTTGACAAAGAGCCACTGATTTATTATCATAAAGTTATACTCCATTTGTAGTTGTGTGTATACATAAATTGTAAAATAGAAGACAAGTTAGTACTTTTTTAATTTTAAGTTTGATACTTTAAAAAACATCAAGGCTAACAAATTATAAATTCATAAGGCTACAAGAAGCCGTAAACAAAGTTAGTTGAACCAACCTAACAAGATTTCGCGACAATTACGACGCAATTTTCTCATAAATTTCTGGCAATCTCCTGTGATTAATGGGGCAAAACTTAAATCAAATTTTATTTCATTGAAAAATATAGCTTGTGATGATGTTGTTTTGACCCCAATAGGTTATTTGTTCATGTAGTTTAATTGGAAGTTGCTAATATAAAAAAAAAGAACAAAAAACCAATAAATAGTCCCCTCCCAGTGTTAGAAGCATTTTTTATTATTTTAGAATAGAGTGCAATGTACTATTTTTTATTCCAATGAAGTTAATCAAAGTTACACATTAAATAATATAAAACTATTGTTTATTTGATTACTAGCTGGCCCGACGAACTTCATATTGCCCTGTAATCAAGAAATATCAGTTACCTTTTTATCTGAATGAAGTTAATTTCCTTATTTCTCAGGACAGAGTTTTGCCTGGTTCAAGCTGATAAACGTTAATCGCTCAGTTTCTATGTTTACACACATATTGGTGAAAGAGATGACAACATTTTAAGATGTGATTGACCTCAACTTCTCCAACCATAAGCCTGTATGAATAATAATTAATTCATTAAACTAACTTTTTTGTTAGTTTCAGAACCCAAAAACATTTTTTAGTGATAAGATTATATAAATTACTTAAAGCTATGATAAACATTAAAAACTTAAAATGTTTATTTGCCTGTAACTGGATTTATCATCTTCATTAAAAAATGATACCCATATTCACCTTGAAAAAATAAGATAGGATACTGTAAAGCATCATATGATCAATGTGTTTCAGAGACTGCACTTGATTGTTGGGACATTAAAAGGTCTTATGTGTAGCCTTGCAGGCGTCTTGTCAGCTTTGATAACAATTTCGTGGTTATCAGATACTTTGTTATCTAATGCGGTCTTGAATAATACAACCAATGCATTGTATTGATGGAAAAATAATTGGAGCTGTTCCACATCCGGTCTTTTCACAGAGTTGTTGTGTGCACAATGTTGATTAACTTGTCTCCCTGAATCGCCCATGAAATAAATTTGCAAAAATTTATAGTCACTGACCAGCATTGGCAATAAGGATAAGTTCTATGATATATTTGTCCTTGAATCTGCAAAGGAAACATTCCTGTATTACATATACATATTGTAAAGTGAATAGTTCAAACCACCAAGTAACACTCAAAATTTGTGAGCACTACCATTTCCCCCATCTACTTTTTTAACACAATTCCTTCTGGCTACGTAAAGTATTTCACAGAGCTACAAATGTACTTTAAGCCATTTCAAATGATACACGATTACAATTGAAAACTGTCAACAATAGTGGTAAAAGTTTTTCAATATAAATTACCTTAAAAGTTGGCATAACACTTCTACATCGTTGGTTACGGTTCGTTCGATTCCGTTTAGCTTCATTCCACGTTGCTCATCAGTTAGACTTGTTCTTCTATATCTTTGACTTGAGGCATTACGGGTTTGTACGTCTAATTGCCGGCATTTTTTGAAACAAAAATTCAACTGAAAATAAAAAATACTATTCTTATTCTATTCCTATTCTTTTTGATGGTATTAAAATGGTCTATCAAAACTTTCCAACACTATAATAATTTGACTTACCTTCTTGAACAAACGCTTCAGAAAAAAAGACAGTACAAATTATCCTGTAGAAACCAATGTGAAAATTACACTAAGAAATGGTAAATGAATTATGTAGGTTTTTTGTTATTATAACTCCGACCTCAAATAGTAAAACTGAATATGTATTCGTACAAATCCACACAAAACAAACAAAATTACTCTTTTGCAAACAATTTAAAAGAATAACTGAACTTTTAAGACAGAGACAATAGTTTACCATAGACTAATATAGTCTCACAAATGCTAAGTTCAGCTTATGTATCGCGCATTTATATAATAAATCTTTACAAAATTATAGTTCACATAAAAAGACATTTATGTTTTCGTTAACGAATAAAATAAATTTAGATATTGTTTATAAAATATAAACTTAAATATACACAAAATAAATTAATGAACGCACGCTTAAACGTTAATCATTGGTAACTATTTCTGAACTCATGTCAAATGTCAACCAATCAACCATTACTTAAAGTATTTAATAGGATATACAAGAATTAATGTTTGAGAGCTTCAAAGGGAAAATGATTAATCTTTTATAATTATGTTTTCGTCGAGTTTTCATTATTTTTAAGGTGTATTCTGCTATTCGGGGCGGAGACAAATCCAACGAACCAAAAGATATTTTTAAGGCGCATGTTTTTCAGTGTTTCTAAAACTACGATATGTGTGAATAAAAATAACAAGTGTACAAATAAAACAAATATTATTCATATATTGGAAATATGAATAAATATATGTATATACAAGAAAGTCGAGTTTGTTACAACACTTGTAACTCGAGGTCGGCTGCCGGCTGGACCGAATTTCAATTTTTTTTAGGCGGGGCAAAAACTGAAAAATGCCGCCCCGCTTATATACTTATGTTTATTTTCACCTTTATCATCCATATAATTTCAGCTATCAATATGTAGGATATATATTTAACAGGGTAGGGTTTAAAATAAAAATAAATATGCGTAATAAAAAAAAATCAAATATACATATTATTAAAGGAGATCATTCTTTTTGGGCCTTTTTCTGAAAGTGCCGGCCAACAAAAAAAAAATGGTACTTATTGTTAGAACTAACCATTTGGAGCAATAGTTAATATGGCGCAAAAGTTGTAGGATCCAAGATATAGAAGTTATACAAGTTCTATGATTCATCATTTTCGTACATTTATTTTTCTGAAAGTGCCAGGAAACAAAATAATGATCGATATGGCTAGAGTTAAGCTTCTCAAGCATATTTTTATAGCGAGAAAGCCATAATCTTTTCTCTTGTACATGTTAGAAACCTGTCGTTTTTATGTAATATTATTATTGATACTAATGTATTCAATTGTATTAATTAAAAAATACGTGAATCAGTATTGGTGTTTTACTTATATTATCCTGAAATATATTTTTAGTTATACACAGAATGCTATATAACGTTGTTTTAATATATAAAAATAACACCCTGATATACATATTAGTTTTGACAAATAATAAAACCAACAACAACCAAATTGTGTTGGATGTGTTCAGATACTGGGCAGAACAACGTCTGTCGGGTTCGCTAGTATTACATAAAAATGACAAGTTTCTAACATGTACAAGAGAACAGATTATGGCTTTCTCGCTATAATGATTTGCTTGAGAAGCTTAACTCTAGAAATATCAATCATTATTTTATGTTTCCTAGCACTTTCAGAAAAATAAATGTACGAAAATGATGAATCATAGAACTTGTATAACTTATATATCTTGGATCCTACAACTTTTGCGCCATATTAACTATTGCTCCAAATGGTTAGTTCTAACAATATGTACCATTTTTTTTTGTTGGCCGGCACTTTCAGAAAAAGGCCCAAAAATGTATGAAACCTGAATGATCTCCTTTGTGAATTGAAATTACAATTTTACTCTTCGAGCTTTTTGTTCCGCAAATAAATCTATAGCCTTGTCATAATTTAACTCGTGTGCAATAAGATTTTCTATCACTAAGATTGCAAGACCCGATAAGCGTTCCTGGCTCATAGATATAATTTGTAATCAGTTTTTGTTTACTAAAACTTCGTTCGCAGCTTGCAGGCGTAGTAGGAAGCGTAGAGTAAATTCGCAGAGAAATACAAATATTAAGAAAAGCATCATGCAAATCATGCGCATAGATCTCTTGCAAGAGATAAAAACTGTTAGCCTTTTCTATATCACCAAATAAAACCGGAGTTTGCTCTTTAAAAACATGAAGTTCCTGGCAGAATTCAACAACACTTAAATCTAGCTCGTATTTTCGAGTCAAATCTGCTCCATACTTTTGCAGTTCTTCATTTGACATTTTCAAAATGTTAGTACCATTAAGAAAAGCAAAATTCAAATTCAGCGTAGTAGCACAATCAAATCTCTTTTTAATTTCGAATATGATTCAATCAAATACCATCATTATTTTTTTAGAAAAAAGTTGAACCGGTTGGAGTATTGGCAATTCGTCTTCACACATCTCTCCGATCTGCGATTGCTGCAGGCGAGCGGGAGCCGGGCGCGTATTTTGAACTATGCCTACGTGCCTCGCGAATAATAAATGTTCGTGCAGTCGTGCAGCATGTCTCACTCCGCGCTCAGGGTATCGGTCAAGTTGATATGGCCATGAAATCGCTGTACTTGTGCTATTATTAATTCTGTGGTCAAAGTTAAATAAATGATGAGGAATGTGAATTTTGCCGCCCCCTGAATTTGCCGCCCGGGGCATAGGCCCCGGCTTGCCCCCCTAGATCCGGGGCTGCAAATGGGGCAATACCCAACAACTACAAAACAACAGAAATGTTATAAAAATTTTAAATTACGTTAACATGAATAGTTTGGCAGTATTTAACAAATTAACTACAGAAAGAAACTGTTGTCTGTAAATATTGTCTATCATAACTCCTTTTTTTTTTAACAAAAGGAATGCTTATTGCCTGTCAATCGTGCCTACATAGACCGGTAAAAGGTACATAGCGATAATGTCGTTTTGGCTAAGAGTTGAGTTCTCGAGTAAGTAAATATGGTTTTTCGCTTATATGAGGAAAAGTCAAACATTTTCTGGTATTTAAAGTAGACTATGTGTTATTCCTAGACGTCAGCTTCCTGTATACAACATTTTATCAAAATCAGTTCAGCCATTTCAGCGTGAAGAAGTAACAAACATACACACACACACACACTCACAAACTTTCTCAATTATAATATTAGTAGGATAACATTTCCAGGATTGAAAACTTTAAAAATAGAGAGCCTTCTAATGAATTTAATTTTAAATTTTTGTACCATTATTATAATATGTATGTTTGAATATAGAAAAAATAGTAAGAAACTGTAGGAATAAATGAAATGTCAATAAATTAATTTTATCTTCCTCAAAGATTTCTATATCAATATTCTATGGGATAGATATTATCAAATATCTTCAGACAAATGTATAACTTTGATTAATAAAGTTCCAAACTAGGGATGACCTTTTCTTATAAATAAAATGTAAAATTTACATTTATACCAAATACCAAAAAATATGTGGAAGAGAGTTATGGGTTGAATTAATAATCTTCATTAAAATACTATAATTCATTCCCAATATTGTCTTCTTCTTCCTGGCAATTTTCCAGCTTTAGCCAGGGTCTGCCTTAAATAATTCCTAATATTGTATTATTTCAAATTAAAAAAGTAATCTTGACAACCCTATTTTGAAGTCATATATATTTTAAATTGAAGGCTTCGAGGGATTACTAATAAATATTAAAGCATTCCATTACTAGTATTCAATAAACCAAGACTCTCTATTTGATTACGAGCCACCTACAAAGTTTTAATTGGTTTCCGTGTTTTTTCAACGTTATCGTAAATGATTTAGGTTTTTCCTCATCGTATTTAAAATCACAAAACATTTTAGATAATGTGAATTACTTCATTTCTGAATAAATAAATGAATGAATGATCATAACTTAACTTTTCTTTTACACATTATTGCGGTATGAAATTTTAAGTCATTTATTTGTGCAAATAACATCTTGACCTTCCACAAAAAAAAAAAACATATTAGTTATAATATTTATGCAAAACTTCTGTTAAAATATTACTTACTTATTTCATTAACAATTATCATCACACACAACTAGAGTAAAGTGAAATGACAAATGCTGGATTATTTTATACAATACCATTATATAAATAAAATAAATAATACCAATAGAGATAAAGCATAACAATGGACGAAACTAGAGCTGACTGTTATCCAATATAATTTGGGAAACGACTGCTTTCAAAAATGAAAATTTCAACCTTCATTTATAACTGTCAACAGCCGTTAACTTGATGTATCATTTAGAAAATACGATATGCTATAATAAACCTTATTATAAGAGTCGCAAGGTATATTTAAGTTGGACCAAATATATGTTACAAATTAAGGTACTGTCAATCTCAGCTAGACGCAACCGTGTTTCACGATCGAGACAGTTTGTTTTTCCAGTCACTTGTAAAGTTAATATATGTATTTAAAAACTCGGCATTTTTCTTAGGATACTTTTAACAAAGGATATCTAGTTTATTGAAATAAATATTTTTTTAAAGCAAAAATGTCATTTTGTTAATGATAAAGGGGGCAACCGAGTAGACGGTTTATCTGATTGAGGTAGCACCGTCATACATGGACATCTGCAACGTAGATTTGCGGATGTGGTACCACCCTTAATTGGGGAAGAGGGGGAAGAAAATGTGGGAAAATAAGGGAAAAAGAAAGTCAGGAAAGGGTGGGAATAGTAAAAAAAGTAACTGATTCTCTCACTCATGGGATTAAACGCAGCCATTAAAGACTACTTCATGCCGATCTTCTGTGAGAAGGTGGTACTTTCCCGGTCGAACCAGCCCATATTCAAATTGTAGTAACTTGACCACAGCTAAGCTCTACCACCTCAAGAGTTACATATATTGCATTTCGTTTCGTTTGCCCGTTATCACGGTAAGTGAAATTTATAATAAAATAAAAAAAAAAAACAAACAAAACCGCATAGTATATCTGAAAAACATAGTTACATTTTAGATCATTTATAAAATACTAGTAAACCTGGCGAACTCCATTTCGCCACCAGAAGGCTTTTATATAACATTTCGTTTGGTGATTAAAAGATGAAGAATTTTTTGTTTTATATTTGAAAAGGAAAATTTTTATTTCATTTCACAACAGTAATGAATTCATTTCGATTACAAAAATGAAGTGTTATTTAGTTGAACTTCTCTAAGTAAATGAAAGTGAATCCAAAGTAGATACCGAATCGAAGCGTTATACGTGTCCGCAAATTATCCGTTTCATTGAAGTGTTCCTTTGTAAACCACATTTTTTGTTTTTTGGTCTAACTTTAACACAAATAAAGCGTATGGTTTCCAAACTCGTGAACACGCAAAATATAACTGCCCATGTGAAAAACAATGATTTTCTAAATTTATCCCGCAAATACTAAATGGTTTTAAGAGTTCAAACTACAAACACATTACCTAAATATTTTATTTTTATATAGTAGATTTCTTACAAATATCTAATTGTCATCCATACGTCATTACATATTTGTCATTATACGTCAATTGCATAGCTGTCAATTCTGTTATTCTACGTTTTAATAATGACTCACGTTTCATGTCAAGTCCCACGGGAATGCTATCGAACGGGATAAAAAGTATCCTATTATAATTTCCCGATTCTAAACTACCTCCCTGCCAATTTTCAGCTAAATCGGTTCACCCGTTCTTGGGTTATAAGTAGAGTCACTAACACGACTTTCTTTTATAAATATAGACTAGTCGGGCAACTGGTTGGGCAACTGATCGTCCAACTGGTCGACCAACTGATCGACCAACTGATCGTCCAACTGGTCGACCAACTGATCGTCCAACTGATCGCCCAACTTATCGTCCAACTGGTCGACCAACTGATCGTCCAACTGGTCGACCAACTGATCGACCAACTGATCGTCCAACTGGTCGACCAACTGATCGTCCAACTGGTCGACCAACTGATCGTCCAACTGGTCGACCAACTGATCGTCCAACTGGTCGACCAACTGATCGTCCAACTGATCGACCAACTGACCAACCAACTGATCGACCAACTGATCGACCAACTGATCGACCAACTGATCGACCAACTGATCGACCAACTGATCGACCAACTGATCGACCAACTGATCGACCAACTGATCGACCAACTGATCGACCAACTGGTTGACCAACTAATCGTCCAACTGATCATCCAACTGATCGACCAACTGATCGTCCAACTGGTCGACCGACTGATCGACCAACTGATCGTCCAACTGATCGACCAACTGATCGTCCAACTGGTCGACCAACTGATCGTCCAACTGATCGTCCAGCTCGCTTCTATCTAAAAACAAACAGGGCCTAACCCTCGCAGCGTCTACTCAGCGTTACACAATATAATATTTGAATCCAGTTCCGGCAATGAATCTTTTATATATGTAGGTACAAAAATATAACACGATTCTCATATAAATTTCTTTAACACGAACGAGAAAAACTTGTACAAGAATATATGTACTAAGAATATAGAAACTCTTTGGATAAAAAATGTATTTACTGGCTGACCTTTGTGGATGCAACATCTACGCGTGACATTTGATTATTAAGAAAAAATGTTGGTTAAATGAAGCCATAATATACAGGGTGACTGGTGAATTACTATCGATACTTGAGGACGTGATATTTGACGATCATATATGACAAAATAAAAATTAATATAACATAAATATTAATATACTTCTAAGTAAAGTTACCCAAAAGTTATGTCATTAATTACGCATCGTGTGAACACCCTACAGATTAGGTATACACACACATACACACACTCGCGCGCGGCAGCGAGGTATTGTATCAGCACGCCGCCGCACGCGTCCACACTTGGAACGTGTCCACACTTTATTTATTTATGCGGAAATTTGGTCAAAAATTAAGTACCTATTTTTTTTACATAATTCGAATGAGAATCATGTACTGATTATTCTCCTAAAATATTGATAGTAATTCACCAGTCACCCTGTATATATACATATACATATTACAAAATTAATATTTATTATTTATTTATATGAAATTGGTCTAGAATTTGCTTTTCTATGTACTTTAATCAAATGAACAGATGTTTTGAAGTTAATGCTTTTGGCGTTTGTAAATTTTTGTTGTACCTTTTTTGAATAAGTAGAAAAATATTAAATATAGATTAGGGTCTTTTTTAAGCCAATAAAAAATCAGTTTTTTACAGTTACATCCAGGAGCCTTTAACTGTGGATCAAAGTTTATGAAAATTAGTCAATAAAAATATTATAACTTTGATATTTATAAAATTTACCTTCAATGTACCTTCGTTCTGTGACAGATATCAATCGGAACTGTCAATGATTCATTATTTATCTTAATAACTTCCGCTAACATTACCCAGCCCTCCCATAAAGCTGTGTCCATAATCCGAATTCCTTGCCGTTATCCCAAGTAACGACCCGTAAGGTCACAAAATTACTGATAAGTGAATTCTTCGAAGTTGCGAACAAGAGGTTTAGGCATGATTAGTCCGCATTTAGGTCAAACTTCAGACATTTTCATAGCCATTTGCAGTTATGTAATAATAGCCTAGTTCAAAACTAGTAACTAGTTGATAGGACCGCTTTAGAAAGTGCTTGTAGCTAACTTTGGAAGTGCTCAATAATATATATGATAATAATTCTTCGGATATAAATGTAAATGTGAAATTGAATTGTATTAAATTTCATTCTTTATTTTAAATGTATTATTACAACAATGTTCATGATTATATGTAGAAACATACTACTACTAAAGTAAAGATATATTTTTCAAAGTCAAATGTCTGTTAATAAAATAAATACATATTTAATTTATATTTGTTAAACAAAGCTTCTAACAAAATGGTTATTAGGTCCAAATTCACCACAGTTGATTGACTCCGTCTGACAACTGCACAAAAGTTGAAGGCTTAGTTGTCAACGAAGCACAAACGCGTTCTAGTATTGTTCACTCAACAATAGGAATATCAAACGCTTTCATTCATATCCTGGTCTTTGTTGTAGAACGTGGACCTTAGACAACAGACGCTATAAAATTAATCTAACGGTATTAACAACTAAATTTATAACAATGCCTATTTACAAAGATTTAACATATAAATCACATATAAATAAACATAATAAATATCTTAACTAAATAATTTAAAAAAATATATAGAAATTACATGGTTGTTTATGAAATGAGCTTATGAACGACAATTTAACGTAATAGCGTCATGTTAAAATATTCATTATAATTTCATACTCTAATCAATTTTATTTTATTATTATTAATGGAAATATTTATATTTGTATCCTACATTCAACTTAGTACGTTCTTACCTCTGTATATTGTTTATTTTGTATTATCCCATACCGGTTCGTATCGGCCGGAACGTGCTAATGAATCATGTGTTTTAGTGCGTGCAGTCGGAGTTCATCGATTTATAAGACTATACACAGACAGGTACAAAAAACGTTGAAAATACTAATATTTAAGAGAATTTCGTTTTAAACCTTTCTGATGTTCACAGTTTACCCACCCCTTTTAGTGATTTATAGAATTCAATAAAAAATTATCAAAAAAATAGTCTTTCCTTCTCGATTAATAAAATACTTGATATAAAAGGTATATTAAAATATTTGTAATAAGTACTTGAAAACATATATAAACAAAGATCCTATAAAACTTCTCGGAAGACACCTTATTTTTCTCGATATTACCACATTTTTATTGAACATTATAGTGTGTATTAAATATTAAGCACTGAAGTTCTTGAAGTATTCGAATAAAAAAGATTTTTTACATTCACTGCTTAAGGTTAACATTGTCTTATTATATAAAAAAAAAAAACAAGATAATTGATAAAAAACATAAATAATATATAATAGACTGTAAAGTTATTTCACTTTTCCATGTCTTAAAATTTTCTTAATAGAATCAATTGACTGATGAATGCAAAATGTTGTTTAAAAGTAAGTCGTTACTTTGCAAACACCACAGATGATAGTCCATTGAATTCGAATGGAGTTGACCATTTCCTAGCCATCCTGTAAAACTGATGGTTTTTTACTATCATACGATTTTCAACCTCCTCCCATTGCAATAAGCATAGGTTTTGTGAGTACAAATTGAAAGAAACCCTTCTATAAGTTCCAATTTCTGGTTAAAAGTGTACTTCAAAAGGGACAACGAGTCAATTGTTAATATCTGCAATTTATGCCGGTATAAGTATGGTTTTATTATTACTTCAATTTTCTTCTTCCCCTGAGCCTGACTTTGATGTCCTTTGTGATTGATACAATTGAATGACACACCCCATTTATTTTGTTCATTTTGATTGCTCTATTTGATTTTATATTCTCACAAAATTATATATATTAAGCAATTTATACATGTATAGTTTATTTTTTGATTTATAGTGATTATGATGTTTTGTATTGTTATAAAGTTGAGTTAAAAAATTATAACATAATAATGATATGAATAGTTTGTGTTAAATTTTATATGAAATGCCACTTAACCAAACCAACTTTAGAAGCTAGGAATAATTCTAGCATAACGCAAAGTTTTCTTATTAAGCAAATGCTTAAGATTGTGTGAAGTAAATTATGACGTAGTGTGGCATTATGTTGTTGGAAGTTTTGCTTTTGTGTTTGTAGAAAGTTTCTAAATAGCGGTAACTTTAACAAGCTTGCATTTTAAATGAATAACTTGAACTTGCATCCATACTCGTCCATGTATTAGAAAACCATATTTGACAATGAATTTTAATAACAAATATACTTAAACAAATACAAAACATTCATAAAGGTAGTCTCTCTTTAAATTTTAATAGAATTTATTTAAATGTAAATACGATTAATAACGACAAAACTGGTAACGATCCCATTACTTTACGAAACTCTAAAGGCGACTTGTCACCTTCAAGTCAACCGTATTTTCATTTCTCCCTTTTCAGATAATAATAGAGATAAACGACTTAAAGATAAATCAAAAGTGATATTATGAATCTGATAAAACTTAATAATATAAAATGTTATATAAAAATACATACAAATAAATTATATATTGTAAGCATTACTAATAAAAACAACTTATTGATAAATTACACAAACTATAGTAGAGACTTCAAACTCACTAGTCTTCTCGCATCACATTATATTATAAGTATTATACTGTCCAATGCCCCGATGGAAGTCACATCCACAGTAGTCATATATCTATACCTGTTTATACATATATTGTCATATTGAGGATAAACTTGTTTTATCATTTATTGTAACTGATATTGATCGCGCCATCAGATTTGAACTAATATTATTAATTTAGTTATTAAGACACCTTTCACCCTTTATGTTAGTGGTGGTATAGTGGTTAAAAGTCCTGCCTCACTTGCATGAGGGCGCGGGTTCGATCCTGGCAAGTACCAATGTGCTTTTTCCTAGCCATAATATGTTCTTTCTAAGAGTATTTAGACATCACTGATTAATGCATTCCCAAGGAGGATTGATATAAGGCAGGCGGCCGGTCGTAAAAAACAATTAGCCCAAACTATTCACAACTTGTAAGGCAGACCCTGGCTAAAGCTGGGAAATTGCCAGGTAGACGAAAAGAGATTAAGGGCACCTTTCATGGCGGGAAAAAATTTCAAAGAACACTAAGAAACGTATGTATGTTATAGTAATAAATACATATAAGTATACATAATTTAAACTTATGAACTGTACATAAAACTACACGATTACACCGGGTGATAGAAAAGCAATAGTATAAGGAAATAAATTTTTCTCAGGGCCAGGCGTCGCTTCCGTGAAGTCAACATCGTCATGTGTTTTATGCTATTTATTACTGTTGGTTAAATGTTCTAATGTGTACTCGCGAAAATCTTAGATCTCATTATGTTCTAATCTTGTTGCGCGTTTATAAAAATTATAATTAAAAATTATTATATTACAATAAATATTAATATATGATTTGAGTAACCGTTAAAAATATAATTAAAACTTATTGGAAGGCTGCCGAAGAACGCGTCATCTGATAACAAGTGTACAATGAAAAAGTCAAACAATTTGTGCAGGTTTTTCTGTGAAATCATAATAAATTTTACAGTAAATTGTGAGCAACTTGTTTTGAAGAAGGCTTTATAAGTACCATTTAATGTTTATTTGAACAAGTGTTATGGCTTTCAATAATTTGCTTTTTGTTTTGGTACCTGTTATTTATGGTAATATAATAAAGCAATGCTGATAGTTAAAGTGGCAAGATTTATTTGAAAATATGTTTAAAAAATGTTAAAATTCGGGATTCATAAGGTCTTAGATATAAAGAAATCAGCGGAAAAAGAACTATTGTCATTTTCCGCAATAAAGAATTTCATAAGATTATGTATCTATTACATTAAAATAGTAAATGCGGCTGAATAGGTAATGTATACTGAAAACAGAAGATCCAATAACATCAAGAGATCATTTTAGAACATCCCAAGAGGCATCCGAATTTGCAAGGGATAGTTAAGTAAACCGTTTTCGAGAGAGAATTTTAATGAAGTTTATGTTCTTGGATATATAATTTCATATTGATAAATAATAAATATAAATAAATTCACAAACATGAAAATTATGCCATATTTATTGAATTTTATTAATAGAAGAGAATACGACACAATATTACTACGAAACAGAATGGCCTAAGAAACGTGATTGATATCAAATGTGGTAATGAGTAATGATTGCATCATGGCTATAAAATTTGCATTGCACCACTAGAACGATCTGGCGAAGAATCACGACAGGAGACGACACAAACTGAAATGCAAAAGATATATAAGAATTAAACATAATTATAACATTGAAATTGAGAATGACTTGATGTTATTTTTGAATAAAATTTGAATATTCAAAGACATAAATAATATAGTTAAAAACGGTAAAAATTAAGAGTGCTGTTTACATATTTCTTTTTACACTACCTTTTTATTTCCATAATTGTGTTATTTTTGTTGATCCATGTTAATACTGTGAATCCTAGCAATTTGCTCTGCGGTTTACGCCTAGCGCCCAATTTCGACACGTCCATGGCCGATCATTACTGCAAACGATCATGTACGTAATGGTGAGAGATGTCTTTTATGATCATTGAGTTATAAGCGAATTATTCCTTTGTTAACGTAAGACAACTTTGTAACCCTGCATTTTTTCGAAAATGAAAAGATTGAAAAAAAGTGCATACAAATTCAGGAGTAATATTTATGCATAATTGATAGGTGTTGACTGTCAGAAACTCAATTTTTGCCTATAGTTTTTTGTATTTATTCATTATGGAAAGTTTTAAGCCAATTTACATATTACTTTTACGAAAATCTCAATGATATTTATTTGCTTTTTAGGCAAAAAAAAATATTATTGGTAGACTGGAACAAAATTCTAATTTTAAGATATAGAAGCATACTTAATTTATCGATACACAATCGATCGACCGTGTTCGTCTAAAAATTAAGTGTTTAAATAAAGGTTTACAAGCATATTCACACAATTTAATTAATATCTGCTATAAGACAAATGATAAATGTATTTCAAAGAAAACCACTCATTATTTTATTTTTCAAGCATATAAAATATCTTATTTAATGAAGTGTAATTATAATTTATGATTAATATCCTACATGTTGAAACTAAAACAAAGGACACGATATAATAACAATAGCCTCTGACTGTATATTTTCAATTATCAGTATAACAGCTTTATTATTATTCGAAACATTCATTAAAAAGTGACAATAATCAAAAATTTGACAACATCTTTAATAAATTGACAATGACATCATATTGCAAGGTTATTTTCTCCAAATTCACACTCTATTAATTTAATAGAACATAAATACGTCATGTTAGTATAGTGCGTTGAATTTAAGCTGAGCTTTGCATTTGTGTGCGTGTACACGGATAGTGTAGGTGTGATGTCAAATTTTTGAATGCCGCGTTCTTTTCTAGTTTTGAAACGGTTTATTCTGCTTTTACTCCGCCCCGCACCTTCCGCACTTCACCTTTTGTACTGGTAGCAAAATCAAATGTTGAAAACGCAATGTCAAGTGAATAAGAATTTCTATAATTTTTTCAAAATTATTATTAATCAATTTTTTTTCCATAATATTTATAATATTTCCATCTAGTTCTTACAAGTTTTGCTTATTTTATAGCACTTATGTTATGTACCTATTTAAAATATAAAAAAAAAAAATTCTAAAAGTTTTTTATCTAACTCTACTTTTACTTTCACTCACACAAATGCAAAGGTCAGCTTGAGTCTAATGGACTATAGCACTATTACGTAAGTCAAAGCTGTCATAACTTTTATTATAATTATTATTAATTTCATTGTAAAAAATAATTGTGATATGTTTATTCTTTATAAATCTTGTCAAACAAAATTAGTTATGGTGGTATGAAATTTATTCATGTTTAATTTAGAAATTTCTGAATTTGACTTAATAAAAATAATTGTTTAGGTACACACATTTAGTATTGATGTACCTTAAATAACTTTAGAAGAATATTCATTCTGGCAACTCCCGCGTTGTTTGTATCTGAGTGTTATGTAAAAAACAACATTGTGATTGACTAGTACTGTTCCGCCTCAAGAGAGTCGGACAAAATTACAGAATGTAGATGTGGTGATTAATTCAATTTGGTGCCGATTGTCAAGGAGTGATAATTGTAATTTTTTTATGTTAAAATGGCAAAAAAGTAGACTGTCTACCTGATTTTCCAATTGTTATCGTAAATCTCTGTATTCTTCGTATTAAACTTCTATTAATTATTAAAGATTTTTAGATGATTTAAAAATGTAAGGCATCTAAATATTAGTTTTGCTGTGATTGCAGTTCAACAGATGATATACGAAGCGGTCTTGTAATGACTAATGAAAATACCTTACTTATGATACCGAATTCATTCCAACAATATTATATGGTTTAATACAACTATTTATTAGATTTAACTCGCTTTTTGTATTTCTTACTCTTAAAACGACAACCGATGTTTTGATTAT